ATTCCTTGATCTCTTCCTTGGGAAAAACTATCTGCAGTGATGACACAGCCTTCAAATTGTTCATTTTCCTTGGCAGGACAGCAGCACCCATCCACAGGAGAACACTGAATTATTTATGTCCAAATAAATCCTTTGAATTGGGTGTTCTGGGCCACGAGCATCCCACAGCACCTGCATGACTCCGCTTCTCCGTGTATAAAGCAGATTATTGCTTGAGAACGTTGCCAGGAAAGGCTTTATGATACCTTTATTATGGATATCAAACACACTGGGGCTGGAATTAATCATCACCACATCATTTGTCATCACTTTGATGTGTCCTGTCCCCAGCACAAGGGTTTGGGTGCCGTGTTCCTTAGAATCCCAAAATTGGGCTTTTTAAGGCACTTTGCAGCCCTTGTCCCTCAAAGCCAACCCATAAACCCCTTCATTTTAACCACAGATCTTTATAATATTACATATAGATTTATAAATAATATTAAACACTCCCTGATATCATGGGGCAGAGGAAAAAACAGGGAGAAAAGTGATGCTGAGCTTCCCCACTAACCTTGTAGGAACATATTGCATTTTCCCTCCAACGTTTTTGGGAGGGGGAAATAAAGGAAATCTCATTTTTTATTGAAATCTCCCTTTCTTTAAGGAAATTGCCTTTTTAAAAAGTTATGCACATGGTGCAAATCCAAAGTCTTGGAGAAACCTGAGTGTGTGACACCAGCAAATATCCCTACATCAACAGTTATCCTGGAAAAAAAGTACCTCAAATATGAAGCTTCTCCCAGAGTCATGCAAACAACATAAAAATCCTCAATATTTGCTGCTCCACCATGTGTTTTAATTCACCATTTATACCCAGCATTGCCTTTCTGCCACTTTCTGTTATTTCTTTTTTCCAGCTGCAATGCACACAAGCAATAAATGGGACCAAATCCCAGCAGGTAAAAGCTGGAAGGAAAAGTTATTTTAGGCCAGCAAGAAATGATTCTTTGGCAATAAAATCAGATCTTTGCAGTCAACTAATGGGCTGATGGAGCATTTGCAAGGCAAATCCCCAGCAGGACATTTCTGAGGAGCAGGCTGGGATTTGGGTGGTTTTAGGATGATGAGCATTGGTGCAGATGGGTTGAAGAAATTTCTGGTGAAGGTTGTGCTGGGAAATATCACAGCAATGGGGTTGGTTTTCCCAGTTTTCCTTATCTGTGGGTTTACGATTTGCCTTCATTGTGCTCAGAGAAACCTGAAACCTTGCTGTGATACCATATGAGCTAGGAAAATAAATATTAGTAAATATTATGTATTATATGTAGTATATTATCTATAAAATGTAAACCATAAAATATCATATTATATTATATATTATATATTATATATTATATATTATGTATTATGTATTATGTATTATGTATTATGTATTATATATTATATATTATATATTATATATTATATATTATATATTATATATTATATATTATATATTATATATTATATATTATATATTATATATTATATATTATATATAATGTATTATGTATTATAACATATTACATATTACATACTACATTGTATATTGCATATTATCTATTATCTATTATCTATTATCTATTATATATTATACATTGTATATTGTATATTGTATATTATATTCTATTCTATATCATATATCTCATATCTCATATATTATATATTATCTATTATATATTACATAATATATAATATATTTTCTATTTTTTTTATATTGCATTTTGGTTTTATTATACTTAATATATTATATTTAATACATTATATTTTAACATATATTATATCAATATAATATTTTATTATATTCATATATTATATTCATATAGTAATATTAATATAATATTAATTGTCAATAAGTATTAATACATTATTTTATTGTATTACTATATTATTATATTAACTAATATTTAATATTATGTTTTAATATACTTTTATATTGCACTTTATATTTTATTATACTATTATTATATATTATATATTATATATTATATATTATATATTATATAATATATAATATATAATATATAATATATAATATATAATATAATATATAATATATAATATATAATATATATTATATCTGCTATAAAATATGGAAGGCATTTAATATTAAAGGGATGAATATAGAAGTATTTAGGAGGGTGTTGGGCTGCTGGGCCCATTTCAACTCATTTTAACTCTGAATTTGTGCTTGAGTTCCCATCAGCCCTACTGCGATGGTGGGGTTAAAACCAACAAGCAGCGGGGCTCAGAGCTGGACATTGCATGTGCCTGCTGGGCTGGATATTGAATTTATCCTTCAACTTCTGGCCAAATATCTGGGACGTGGTGTGCTCCACCAGCACGATCAATGGCTGGATGATTCAAGCTCTCTTCTTCAATGGCAGAAGGAGAAAGCTCCAGTTAAAACAGGGTTATGAAGAAGATATTTGAGGTTTTAAAAACTACAAAAATGCAAATAAATTGGAAAATAGACAAAAGCAAAGGGAGAATCCCAAACAACAGGAGCAAACATTTAATTTATCATCGCCAGCAGGAGCAGGAAGCAGAGGGAACTACAGAAGAGGAGGAGTGGGAAGGGAACAGTGTCGGAATCTGAGGTATTGATGATCCCGAGATTGTAAAAGTCTCTGTCTTTCAGCCCCGCTGCCAAAGCAGAAGCCATAATTGGTCTGTGCTGGTTCCAAGGTTGTTTATTCTGTTTATCTCTAACATGTTCTGCTGCCCTGCCGCAGCTCTGTCCTGCAGGGCAGCGTGTGGGGCTCTGCCCTCAGTGGGATGGTACAAACATTAAATACCACAAACTACCTGTGCTGGATTTACAATAACGTGCCAATATCTGTCACCTACGTTGGACAGTGTGTCCCCAGCCTGAACCAACAGAAAAATGCCAACACCACAGTGAAACATGGAGGGCATGAAGAAGGAGAAAAAGGACAAGGCACACCCAATTTCCTCCATCTTGTCCCCTCTGAACCCCTAATCTAGAATCCTAAAATTTTACTTTTGCACCCGTGCCACACTTAGTTATTACTTATATCAAACACTCAGAGCTTGTAATTGATCCTGTAAGATTGAAAACTCTTTTCCATGGCCAGAGATCACAGCCAGTGTCTCTGGGGGCTCTGTCCAGGGGGGTTCCTGACCCCTGCCAGGGTCCCAGACCTGCCAGGGCAGCCAGAGGGAAGTTCTGCATTCCCACAGAAGCAAGGCGGGGATTGCAGAGGGGAAAAGCCCTGCCTGGTGGGATTAACGAAGGGAAGGGAGCAGGAAGGAGTTTGCAATCAAACATACGTTTTTAATATGTTGGCAGCCGGCTGCTGCTCCATGCCAAGTAAAGGCAGGTGTCGGAGACAGTTTGTGTTCTGCTTGCTGGAGCATTTGGTGTCATGCTGGCGACTCTGATTTCATCACAGGCAAAGGCAGGTTGGTGCTGCACAGAATAATTAACCGCTGGTTTATTCCTCCCCTTGAAAGAAGCGACAGAAACGCCCACTCAGGTGACATTTTATGCAGCCAAAGCATTGCAGACTTCAAGCAGTTCAGACAGAAAATACCAATGTTTAGGCTTTTTCAGGTTAACTGAGCCCCGACTGCCTGGGGTTGGAACAGGATCGTCTTTAAAGTCCTTTCCAACCCAAATCTCTAATTCTGAGATTCTGTGATAAAGGCACTCATCAAACCACACCAGCCTGGGTCTGATGGGCAAGATGTGGTGGTGAAGAGACAGGGTTTATAAATAGACTGAAGTATTTATTTTAAATTGAAATTCCTCTTGTTTTGATATTAGAAGATGCTTGTAGCATTGACAAACATCCCTAGTTTGGCTTGGCTGTCCCTGACCCCCAGCAAGGCTGTTCCAAAACCTGTGTCAGCACTACTGTATTAACGAAATCTGCCTGATTTTGGTTCTAATTATAACCGAGGGCGTGGACAGCCCAATTTTTAGGGTTTTGGGGTGAAAGTGTGTTCAGAGGTGCTCCCTGCAGCAGAGTGGGCAGGAGCTGGGGGACGCCGGCCAAGGCGAGGTACTGAAGCACCGATCCGCCTGCACCGGGAGGGAAGCGCAGGGAAATTCCCGTTCCACCGGGAGCAGCTGCGGGCGCTGGGACGGGGTCCGGGGCTGCGGCCCGGGGAGCGGCTGGAGCGGGATCCTGGGGATCCCATGAGCCAGGAGGGCTGGGATTCAACAGGGACCGGGGCAGTAGGGCTGGGGTTCGGTAGGACTGGGGCCGGGATGGCTGGATGGAGATCGGGATCGGGACCGGGACTGGCATCGGGATCAGAATTGGGATTGGGATGGGGATCGGGATCGGGATCAGAATTGGGATCGGGACCAGGACCGGGATCGGGATTCAACAGGGACCGGGGCAGTAGGGCTGGGGTTCGATAGGACTGGGGCCAGGATGGCTGGATGGGGATCGGGATCGGGATCGGGAACGGGACCGGGACTGGGATCGGGATCGGGACCGGGACCGGGATCAGAATTGGGATTGGGATGGGGATCGGGACCAGGACCAGGATAGGAACGGGATTCAACAGGGACCGGATCAGTAGGGCTGGAGTTCAATAGGTCTGGGGCCGGGATGGGGCTGGGATGGGAGTCGGGACCGGGATCGGGACTGGGACTGGGATCGGGACCGGGATCGGGATCGGGATCGGGATCGGGATCGGGATCGGGATTGGGACCAGGATCAGGATCAGGATCAGGATCAGGATCAGGATCAGGATCAGGATCAGGATCGGGACCGGGATCGGGATCGCGCACTCGCCCCCACCGGGGCGTGCTCCCGCCTCCGGCGGCGCGCAGGAAGCCCCGCCCACCCGTCCCCCCTCAGCCAATGGGAAGCGCCGAGCAACGCCAGGCGGGGCAGGGAAAGCGGGGTCCGCGCCCCTCCCTCGTCCCCTTAGCCAATAGACAGCGCGGACGGCGCTGCGGGCAGCGCTGATTGGTCGGGGCGGCGCGGTTGCTAGGCAGAAGCGGCGGCGCGGGGCGGCATGGCGGGCGCGCTGGGCGTGGGGCCGGGGGTGCTGGCGCTGCTGCTGCTCTGGGCCATGGCGCTGCTGCTCGTGGTGGGGCTGGGCCGCGCCGGCCGCGCCCGGTGAGCGCGGGGACGGGGCGGCACCGGGATCGGGATCGGGCCCGGTCAGCCGGGGGGACAGGGACGGGGACGGGACCGGCCCGGTGAGCGCGGGGACGGGGACGGGGACGGGGCGGGACCGGTGAGTAAGAGGATGGGGACGGGGACGGGACCGGTGAGCTGGGGGTACGGGGCCGGGATCGGGATCGGGATCGGGATCGGGATCGGGCCCGGTCAGCCGGGGGGACGGGGACGGGGACGGGACCGGCCCGGTGGGCGCGGGGACGGGGCGGGACCGGTGAGTAAGGGAATGGGGACGGGGACGGGACCGGCCCGGTGAGCCGGTGGTACAGGGACGGGATCGGGCTCGGTGAGTGCGGGGACGGGGACGGGATCGGGATCGGTGTGTGCGGGGACGGGGACGGGACCGGTCCGGTGAGCGGGGGGATGGGGACGGGATGGGCCCGGGCCCGGTGCTGGCGGGTTCGTGCCCGCCGGTGCCGAGCCCGGCTCTCGCTGTCGCCGCAGGGTCGCCGCGGTGCCGGTGCTGCTCGGGGCCGCCGCGCTGACGGCCGCGCTGCTGCTGTTCCCCCGGGAGGGCGAGAGCCCGGCCGCGGCCGGCGCTGAGGAGGTGAGGCCGGCCGGGAGCGGCGGCACCGGCCGTGCCCGGGGCTCCGGGATGGGGCAACGCGCGGCCCCCAGCCCCGGGACCGGGCCTTTCCCTGCCCACGGCCCCGGGTGGGTCTCCGCCCCGGGAATGGGCTTTCAGCTCAGAGGGGTTCCCGGTACCGTCCCGGTGCCCCGGGGATTGCCCCGTGCTGCCTTTGTGCTCCCCTCCCCCGGCAGTCTCCCGCTGGCACGGGCTGAGTCGCTGGTGGGGCCGGTAATCGTTAATTTCTGTGAGTAAATTGCGGATTTACGCCCTGCTCCGCCTGAGCTATGGGGCTCTGTGCAGGGATTGCTCTCCTGCCTTGGTCCCTCCCGGCTCCTGCCGCCTCTGCTCCCTCTCTGCTATTCCCTTTCCTTATCGTTCTCCGTCCAGTTCTGCAGCCTCCCCCTTTTCCCCCAGCTCTGATTGCTGATTAAAGCCCAATGACAGCTCTTCAGCTCTCTTGTAGGTTTTGCTGTGCTCGAGCACAAAGCCATCTGCGTTGTCAGGCACAGGGATCTCCCCCAGTTTTTAGATCAGGCTCTCTGAGCTGCCACCTTGAGCTCTCCCAGAGCTCTTTGGGCTTTGAATACACAAAGTTTTGTGGCCTTTCAGGTGCCGTTTCCTCTGTTCTATTATTAATGCATGTTAATTACTGCTCTTCTGCTTCTTGTTCTGTGTAAATCCTTACTAAAAGATACTTGTAATGTTCTTTTCTTCTCTGTGTCACATCTGACCTGCTGGTGTGAAGGTTAGGAGTGAGATGAAAGGCAGCCCAGTGCGTGTTTGTTGCCTGGGAGGCAAATGGAATTGGAAAGCTTATTTTTGTACGGATCTTCAATTGGACTGGACCTGCCCTGCCTATCAATAATACATGACCTGGGCTTTCTGCACCAAAACTCTGCTAATTGGCTAATTAAAAAGTGAAACGTGCAGAAGGAGCCAGCGCTTGGCTCACCAGAGACTCTCTGCAGGAGCACCAGGGCTGAGCTAATGCGATGGATAAAGCTGAGCTGGGGCTGAGCAGAGCTCTGGGGGGTCTGGGAGCAGAGAGGGGATTTCATAAACAGCCTCCTCGCCGTGGGCTTCTCTTTGTCTTGCCTAGCTGCTGTAGCTTTTTTTTTAATTGTTATTTTTTTCTTTTTCTGCTATCTCCCTTCTGGAAGGAAATCAGGGCTGGAGGTTTGTGGTTGAGGAGAACTGCTTCAGGGCTTGACTGCTGTCTCTTCCCTGTGCTCTGAGCTGTGCTGCTCCACACTAACATCCCCAGTAGCTTTTTGCAGGGATTCTTGTTCTCATTTGTCGCACACTGTGCATCCAGGGATGAAAAGCAAGGAGAGGAATTTGGAGGGGGGCCCAGAGGTTCATTTTTCCAGGATGTGGTGTGCTCCCTCCAGGCTCCTGGAGCAGACTGGGGCTGTGACCTGCTGGGATCTTTGTGTTTCTCTTCCCTGCAGATTGTGGACACCTTCCTCATTGGCCGCTTCATCCTCCTGGCTGTGACGAGCCTGGTTTTCCTCGGGTGCCTGTTCCTGTTCCTGATTTACCACCTCATGGAGCCTGTGTATGCCAAACCGCTCCACAGCAGCTAGAGACAGCGATCTCTGCACAGAGGACATCCTGCCTGCATGGCAATAAATGAGAGGAGACACCAAGAGGCTGTTCTGGAGGGTGACCACGATGCTCATTGTGAGCTCAGAGAGAGCCAGCAAAGCAAGTGAAGCCTTTGCTTCATCTTAAAAAGCAAAGCTTGGTCTGAGCATGAGCCAATTCCTCCCCAGGGAGTTCAAGTCTCTGCACCTGCAAAGGTGAGGGGACCTCTGGATGCTGCTCTGGTTTACAGAGAGCTGAGATCCAGCACTTGGTGCTGCTCCTGACTCAGTGCACTGAACTGAACTGAGGTGGTTTGTTATTGTTACCCACAAGAGACAGTTTGTTACTGCTGCTTTTTTACTGTGGTTTAATAAAACTCTTTGAGAAATCCTTGACTCAGGCTTTGTTTATTCCACAGGGATGTCACACTTGGCCACACTGTGGTGACAGTGCCCATGAGAGCTGCCTTTTTCTGGGGCACACATGGGGGTTTGAGGAAAAAACCCAAACAAATATCAGTGTGTGGACGTGGATTGTTTGGGATGGTCCCTTGGACTGGGAATGGGAGGCTTTGGAGTGGGGAGTGAAAGCAAAGTGATGCCAGAACAGCAAATGGAAAGCTGCCCTCCCAGGAGTGAGGGAGAAGCTGTGGCTGCCCTCCCTGGTGCTGAGCAGTCCTGTCAGCCATGGAAAAGCCCCTGGCAGATACCTGAGTGTTCCCTGAGCCTGAGCTGTCACCCTGGCTGCTGCCAAAGGCTCACAGTTGCTGCTGCCCTAAAACTTCAAACCTTTGCTCAATTCTAGCACAGATCCTGCTGGTCAACTCCCAACACTTTCCTTGTCCCTCTTGGGGGAGAAAACACTCTCTCTGTTTTGCAGGAGCAGCAATGGGGGTGAATCCCATTTTTGTCCCTATTTTTGGGGGGAAGCCAGGGGAGCAGTGCTGCTGAAGCAGAGCCTGTGCTGAGAAGGAGCAGTGGCACGAGCTGTCTGCACAGCCCCTGCTGCTCATTCCCTCAGTGGCAGCAGTTTGTTTCCTTGCATGTGTGGGAATCCAGGGCTTCCCTCTGGCTGCCCTGGCAGGTCTGGGACCCTGGCAGGGGTCAGGAACCCCCTTGGACAGAGCCCCCAGAGACACTGGCTGTGATCTCTGTCCATGGAGAGGAGTTTTCAATCTTACAGGATGAATTACAAGCTTTGAGTGTTTGATATCAGTAATAATTAAGTGTGGCATGGGTGCAAAAGTAAAATTTTAAGTTTCTAGATTAAGGGTTCAGAGGGGACAAGATGGAAGAATTAAGTGTGTCTTGTCCTTTTCCTCCTTCTTCATGCCCTCCATGTTTCACTGTGGTGTTGGCATTTTTCTGTTGGTTTAGGCTGAGGACACACTGTCCAACGTAAATAATAGATATTGGCACATTATTGTAAATATAGTACACGTAGTTTCTAGTATATAATGTTTATACCATCCCCCTGAGGGCAGAGCCCCACACGCTGCCCTGCAGGACAGAGCTGCGGCAGGGCAGCAGAACATGTTAGAGATAAGCAAAAATAAACAACCTTAAAAACAGCACAGACAAATTATAGCTTCTTCTTTGGCAACGAAGCAGAAAGACAGAGACTTTCTACAATCTCAGAATCACCAATACCCACAGATTACGACAGCATGAAATCCCAAAAGGCTTTTAAATTGCAGGAGAAAAGCGTTTTTGGTGGCCTGGAGCATCCTGTGACTGTTTTGTGGCAGGGAAGAAGCCTTCACCCTCCCTGCTGCCCGGGAAGAGGTTCCCACTGGTGCCACGGGGTGAGGTGGGTTCTGTTGTGGCTCCTGTTCTCCAGCCCCACAGGGATGGAGCTGCTCAGCTTTCCATGGCTGAGCAGGCAGCAAGTATTGCAGTGAGCTCAAAGCCAGTGAGACAGCCTGAGCAGTGCTCAGGGTCAATACAGCCAAAAATCTGAGGGCAGAAACTGATTTTTTCCCCCCGTTTTAGAGATTTTTTTTCATTTTGAACTGATGACAGTAAATTAAAGAACCGACTGGCTTTTTCCAGCCCTGTCCTGACAGGTGTCAGTCACCAAGAAGGGCTTTCAGGACATGAAAGATTGATAAGGCAGAGCCAGTGGGTGTGGAGGTGATGCTTCCCTGGCAGAAAATGCCCCAGCACCCCAGAGCACTGACTCAGTCAGCTGAAAAATGTAAGTACAGCCCCAAAAAAAGCAGAGAAGAGGCATCTCTGCTTTCCAAACTGCAGCCACGCTCCATCCCTCCCTGTCCTGAAGCCGTGTCCAAGGCAGTGTTGAGGAATTGCTGAGCATTAATGCAGCACTTTGGGGTCTGCTGGTGATTTTGATGTTACACATGAAACAAAATTCATATTTAATTCATTGTCTTATTAACATTAATGAACACAGCGTTTGTCTGGCAGCTCCAGCTCTGTGCTGCTGTGTTATCCCCGTGTTTGTGGGATGATTTGGGGAGCCTCAGTGAGGCCACAGCTTCACCAGGGCTCCAGTCCAGCAAATGGGAGGGAAACCACAGCAAAAGCAGCTGGAGCACTAAAAACCCAACCTTAACAGCAGAAATGGGAAACTTCTCCTCATTTTGCACTGTGATTGAACACAAATAAGGGCTTTATCTGTCCTTTTAACTGTTTGTGACTAAAATGAGTCAAAAGGCTGATAGAGCAGCAGTTATTTTGGGGAGAGCAGAAAGCCATGATGCAAGAGAGACACAGCAGCTCCTGCTCAAAGAGGTGATTTCAGCATTTTCTCAAAAATCCCATTAACTGGAGAAAGCCTCATGTGTTCTCACCCCCACTGAGACATTCTGAGCTTCATCTTCATCCTTCACAACCCTTGGCAGTGGGGAACCACCAGCTGGATGAGCTCAACCCGGGCTCTACGTGTATTTATTTATTCTGGGGAGTTCTGCTCCTCCCCGCAAAGGGGCTTTCCAAATGGTTCCTGTTTATTTTTGGAACAGGAAAGACCACGTCAAGGAATTGGTATGAGCCAGAGCTGCTTCCCAACCAGCCCCAAACAGGGATTTTTTCCTTCCATCCATCCACATCCCAAAGCTCCAGCTCCTGGAGATAACCTCTTGCAAGCACATCTGCCTCTATCTAGCAGCCTGATCCTTTGTTTTGGAATTAACGTGCCACAGGAGGGCAGGTTTGTCTTAAACCTCTCCGTTGCAGGTTGTGGGAATCCAGGGCTTCCCTCTGGCTGCCCTGGCAGGTCTGGGACCCTGGCAGGGGTCAGGAACCCCCCTGGACAGAGCCCCCAGAGACACTGGCTGTGATCTCTGGCCATGGAAAAGAATTTTCAATCTTACAGGATCAATTACCAGCTCTGAGTGTTTGATATCAGTAATAATTAAGTGTGGCACGGGTGCAAAAGTAAAATTTTAGGATTCTAGATAAGGGGTCCAAAGGGGACAAGATGGAGGAAATTGGGTGTGTCTTGTCCTTTTCCTCCTTCTTCATGCCCTCCATGTTTCACTGTGGTGTTGGCATTTTTCTGTTGGTTCAGGCTGGGGACACACTGTCCAACGTAGGTGACAGATATTGGCACGTTATTGTAAATCCAGCACAGGGAGTTTGTGGTATTTAATGTTTGTACCATCCCACTGAGGGCAGAGCCCCACACGCTGTTCTGCAGGACAGAGCTGCGGCAGGGCAGCAGAACATGTTAGAGATAAACAGAATAAACAACCTTGAAACAGCACAGACCAATTATGGCTTCTGCTTTGGCAGCAGGGCTGACAGACAGAGACTTTCTACAATCTCAGAATCATCAATACCCACAGATTCCGACAGCAGGTGAGGATTTTGGGACCTCAGAGGATGTTAAAAGCCAAGGAGCCCTGCTCCAGTCCAAACTGACCCATCCTTCCTCTTGCAGGATCAGAGAACAAGATGAGGTGCAGGCAGAAAATGGGGCTGAATCTCAGCTCAAGAAAGCTGCTGTGCTAAAAGACCCCATGTGTGCCAGGATGAGGGCAGGCTGGCTGCTGGCAGGTCAGGGGGAAATAAGCCCTTTTTTCTCCCTAAATTCTCTGCCTGGCTCATTAGGAATGAGCAGGGATGCCCCTGCAGCAGGATGTGGGTGCCCAGATAGTGCCAGGCTCAGCAGCCTGAGGGCAGCTGCTCCTCCTCCCTGAGGAGGGCAGGGAGCAGTGCCAAAGCAGGATGGAAGGAGCAGGAGTCTGCAGGGGAAACTCCTCTCCTTGATTTAAGGTCCTTGAATGACGGCAATTCCTCATGTCTCACGCTGCTCTCTGCTGGCACTTAATTACCCTCGCTGGAAAAACTGCCCTCAGATTTCCACCTTGACTTTGCTGACTTCAGCTTCCCCGCTGTTGGATCCTGATTTGCCTTTGGCTGCTAATTAAGAAGCCCTTCAGCCTTTGCCAGCTGCTCCTTGCATAGGTAATTAGAGCCCGTGCCCCAGCCACCTCTTCACCTTCCCAGCAGCATTCCTCCAAAATCCGCACAGCCCCTTCCCCATCTGCCTGCTGGGGATGGATGGCTGTGCTGTGGGGTCACCTATAGAAAAACCCAAATAATGCACTTACCAAACCTAAACAGCCCACTGGAGGTGGGATTTGTCCCATCACAGGACTCACAGTGCCAAAGGAAGGAAAAGCAGCAGCCTCTTATCCAGCAGAGGAGGAACAAGGCAAGTTGTCTTCCAGATTCCTCCCAGAGGAGCTCAGCTCCATTTAAACAGTTTTTCTGGCTAAGGCAAACCCAGGGGATCCCCTTCTGCCTTCCCACCCATCCTTCAATTCCAAAGCTCAGTGAGATCTGGAGTTTTCTTTGGCATTTGGCTCTTTATTTTAAGTTTAAAACTGCCATGGGCTATGTGCCCTTTCTCCTTGCTCCTGGCAGTGGAGCCAAGGCTGTTCAGACTTTCCAAACATAAGTGGGACACGGCCCAGGCCTAAATTTGTCCCGGAAAAATTGTAAGCAGCTGAAAGAACAAGAAGGAGGGGTGAAAGGCAAAAAAAAAAAAAAAAAATGGAAGAAAGTGGGGGGGAAAATCCCCAAATCAGCTTGCTGTTGCAATAAGCCCCCATATGTCTCAGGACTTAAGGGACTTTTTGCCTGAAAATGTATTTTGAGGTCCCCCTCCCCAAGAGGGTGGTCATGACATCATCCAGCAATGTGAAAATGTGAAAGCTCCCTCACACCTGCACTGGCAGGGCCATTCTCAGCCCAGCTCGTGGATCTCTGCCAGCAGCGAGGTCCCTGTGCCCACAAAGGCCACACTGTGGCCTGGGGACACTGCAGGGTCACCCCTGGGCTCTGCTGAGGACAGACCCTGCTGTGGCACCTCTCCCTCCTGCTCCATCAGGGTTTAGCACAGCGGGATCAGGGTTTTCCT